AGGCTAGGTACTTGTCTGGGAGCTGGCAGAATCGGAATGCACTAACATTTATTTTTTGGACCAATGAGAGAACCAAATTCTCATGCGTCCGAGAGGATCATGCGTCCGTATCAATTCGTCATGCGTCCCTATCAATTGCCTTCTAGATATAAGACTTCAATTCTAGGCTTGTAGATGGGCATGGGTGATTGACAGTGACTGTCTTCAATAACTCGAGCGCAGTCTGTCACATCAAAATCAGCCTTGGAGGGGGATGGATCCTAGCCGTCGCAGTCTTGATGGAACGACTGGACCGATAATCGTTAGTCTGCATGTGTCCAGAAATCGATTCCCTCTCGACGGTCTACTGAAAAATGAACCGTCTCCATGAAGAAGTAGTTAATTTATCTGGAACCCAAGTGCATCTTCTGGTTTGATATTCCCAGCGACGTTGGGGCCCTAGTCATAGTAGGGACGAAAGACACCGACCACGACAGAGACGATCGGAAATAATGCGTTATATCTAGGAAGCGATGAAGTCACAACAAATACAGGTCGTGTACGTCTGATTGATTCGTTGAGTTAATGATCTAAAGAGCAAGGTGTTGCAATTGGGCCCTTTCCATACATGCGAGTTCCTACTAATGTCCACTTCTCAATCATGACCTAAGACTACTGGTTGAATAGCCTCATGACCTCCCCCAGCAATCCACCCTCTCCGAACAGCGCGCTTCGCGTGTCTCTCATCAGAGCCGTGAGCTGGTCAAGGGGCTCCGTCATCGACTCCAGGTGATACACAAAGCTCTTGAGCGGCTGACCCTGTCGATCAATGCGGCCCGTCGCTTGATCGACATCGTTCACGTTTTTGGTGATGCCAAAGTGGACGCAGTAGTTGGCAACTTTCAATCCGTCGAGACCGGTGCCACAGAGAGCGTACGTGGTGATGAGAACCTTCGTGTGTGTCTTTGCGCTGTAGCTGCCACCGCTTCCGCCTTGATGCTCATGGAAGTCGCTGAACCAATCTACGATCTTCTGACGCTCGTCACCGGCGAGTCCGCTGTGAATGAAGGTTGACTGGAAGCGGGCGTCGTCCAGTTTCTCGAACCAGAGCTGAACAGCATACGCCAGAATGGGCCACTTGGCGAAGATGATGACGTTCTTGGGGCCCTGAAAGCCAGCCCAGTTCTCGCTATCGTCCGGATACGCCTGCGCATCGTTGTATGCCTCCGCGCAGATCCTGGCCAGCGTTCTGAGTCGGCTGCAATCAGCCAGGATGGTGTCGATGTTCTCCCAGATGCCAGGTGGCATGATTGACTTGTCCAAGTACTTGGATGGCATCGTCGTACCCTTGCCACGTCCGATCACTTTCACAATCCCATCCCATTTGGTCTCGACAGCCGGAGCGCCTGGCGTATCATCCGCCGCTCGAAGAAATCCTGGCATGTGGGTCGCGAGCTCCAACAGACGGACGTCTTTATTCTTGGTGATGATGCGGATGTCGCTGGTCGCGCGCGAGGCTGCACTTGCGTTGGGTTGTGATGCTCCTGCAGGTCCGTCTGAGGCTGTAGCACGCGCATCCTGGAGCTTCTTCACAACGGTACTGCCCACGGCTGCGATAAGGCCGTCCATGGGCGCCCGAAACTGGGTGTCGATGCGGCATTCGACCTTCTTCGTTGCCACCTCTTTCTTCTGCAATATGGGACGTCCGAAAAACAGGCTCGAGCTCGCCCGCCTGATGATGCATGCGAACATGTTAGCGTCGGCGAAATCTGGCATGAAAGCTTGGCTGACCGCATCGCTGGTCATTTGGCTGACGATCTTGAGCAGGCCAGCATGTTTGTCGTCAAGCTCCTTCAGCAGTTGCAGCAGAGCGCGACACGCGATGCCAGGTTTGTTGCGCAGAAGTGAGAAGATTAGTGCCAGGTCGACGAGGCCACTGGTGATCGGACTGCCGGTGGCCGCCAGCACCATGGGCGGGCGCAGTTGTCGCTGCAAAATCACCCAAAAAACTTTGGCCATGTTGGTTTCCAAACCGCGGACCTGATGTGCCTCATCCCACACCAAGAGGCCGAAGAAGTAGGTCCCGCCAATCGTGATGGTTACCTCCTTGCCGCCACGAATGGGCAGCGTAATCAGCTGAGTCCAAAGATTCCGCCATTGCGTGTCACGACTGACACGCTGTTGTCCGACCACGAGAAGAAGGCCCGTGGCGTCGTCCCCATCAGTGGACTTAGATGAAAGTTGCAGAGTCACTCCGGCCGCCTTTAGGAGATTCGAACCACCTTGCTCCCATTCTTTATACATCTTCGAGGATCGTGTCTTGGTCGGAAGCTCCGCCTGGAAGGTGGGAAGACAGACCGCCTGCGCGGCGTTCACTTGGTTGTCGTCTCCTTGCTTAGCCAGCCGCCAGTCGACGACACGTATAAAATTAAACGTCTCATCGTAGACCACATTTCCGTCGTGAGAACGGATCTCCAGATCGACGATCGGCTCGAAGTAGGCTTTGGCTTCCTTTAGGGTTTGACCAACAACCGAGCTCGGGGAGACCACCAGCGTAGCTCCGCGAGGGAACTTTTGGAGGAGCCTCGCGGTTAGACCACCTTTCTCGCACGCACACTGAATGCCGAAGGGCATGCCGCGCAAAGCGCACTTCTCTGAGTCGTTGTTGTGCGCCTCTGGATGGGCCATGTAGTGGTCTAGGCTGATGAAGCTAAGACGGCGGACAGCGATGAAGCCTTGGTAGGTGATCGTCTTGCCCACTCCCATGGGATGCGCAAGCAAGGCACCCAGATGGCCGTCGACAACAGCCTGCTCGACTGCCCTTCGGACGTCATCGAGCTGATAGGGCCTCAAGGCGCGCTTCGTACCGGGGAGTTGACGGCAATGTTTCGCTTTCGTGGTGACGTGCTTCTTGTCGTGGCCGAAGAACTCGCACGTCTTGCACCAAGACGTATCGTTGTCAGCCGAGTTGAACAGATCCTCTACGCCACCTTGATCGGGCGTATGCTCGACCTGGAGGGCCTTGAGGAAGACAACGTCGTCGTCCTTCGCCCTGCTCGAAGGGGGTGCAGGTGTGGTCTCGGTGGCTCCGTCAGTCTTGGGCTTCTGCGACGAAATGAACATCTCCTGGTGTGGTTTGAGGGGCTCGTCCACAATCTCGGTTTCCTCGGACTGCGCTTGAGCATCGTCATCAGTACTGCGCAACCGGTCGGCGACGATGACTTTGGCCGCCTGCTCTGTTTGCTGAGGTTCGTCGGGCAGATCACGGACGTCAGAGGGAACAAGAGGCGGTTGAATGTCATGCCCAGACTGCTGTGCCTGCTCAGCGGGCCCCAGAAGATGCTGATCGATCGTGTTGCCCAGGTCGGTTTCACCAGGTACTAGCAGCTGTTGATCAACTCCGTTCTCCTGCTCTTCATCGAACTGCCCTGACGGCTCTGGGAACCGTCGCCGAATCTCCTAGAATACAGCAACACGGCGAGCCTCGGCCTTGTTGTGAACATAGAGCTCGCATTGAGCCATCATGTTGTCCAGTGCGATTCTCCACTGCCCGTCATGCTCGATGCGGCCGGTCCAAAGCGTCATATTGCCGAACAAGAGACGTGCATTCAGAACCTCATGCACGGGATCATACCGGACTCGATCGGAGCACAGGATCTCCCAGAACTTGGGCCAGTCGAAATCGGAGGTGAGCCGGTGGGAGGTGCAAACGCTTCGGGGGCCGGCGCTATCACGAAGCAACCATTCGATCATATCCTCGTACAGGACGCTGTCGCGCTGGACATAAAAGCGTCCCAGAATGAGGGGATCGTCGCGGAGACTAGAACGCTCAGGAGCTGAGCGGGCAAGTGCGTTGTTATTGTTGCGGGGATGAGCGGGCAAGCGCAAGGTCGGGCGTGTCGAGGAGCGGTTCGGGCTTTGGGGGAATGGATTGGCTGAGGCAGCGACAAGAGGAAGGGAGCTGCCTCCAGAGACAGAGTACGGCGATGGAATCCTGGTTCTCTTGCTTGCGCGGTCGGCCGACTAAGCCGCGGGGCGCTTGGTGGCAAGATCATGCTGTTCATCTGGGGACATGTCAGCAAACTCTCGCGGTATATTGCAGTTTGTGTCGCGGTACCTTCCGAGCTAGACAGCGACATGAGTAGCGAAGATTCCGGAGAGCTCGACGTCGCGGACGAGGAGGAGGATGAGGAGTACTTGCCCTCAGGCATAGTTAAAATGCCTGTGGAAAATGCTTCGAGGCGATATGGAGTATTGAGAAAGGGCAGGAGAGAAGCGACGGCGAAGTTGGTCTTTTCGCAAGTCGTGAAGAGAGGTGGGTAGTAGAGATAAAAAAGGAAACAGAACTGGAAGGGGGCAAGGTGGGGGGTTTTTGGGACAAACGACCCACATTTACCTCACGTCACAGGCGTCAACGATTGGTCGGGTGCCGAAAATGGCCTGCGCGACTTCGTCGTCGCTGCCACGCGCTCTCTTCCCCGTCTGAGTCGACCACGACCAAGCGCGCAAATAAAAATACACTGTCAGGTCTTTGCAGGCCAGGTAAACCAGGCCAGCCATTCAGCAGTTGAATCAGAGCCTTGTGTGGGCCGCCGATCTCCGCGATTCCAGCGCCAACCTCGAAGGTGGGGAAGCGGGCATTGGCCCGGACGAGGAGCATCCCTGTCGTACAGCCAGCAGGCCGGTGTAGTGCGCCGAGCAATTGTACGGCCTGAATCTGGCAATGAACAAACTCATAAGTCACCGACAGGGTGCGCAACATGGACAAGGGGGCGAGAGACGGAAGAGACACACTCACGTACGCCAGGTGCAATCTGCATTTTCATTGGCCGTTGGTGAAGCCGCAGCCGGAGATGAAGCTTCGCAGTGGCTGCTGCGCTGAAGGTGTGCCTTGGCCAATGCGAGTAGGGTTGCGCTGGTGAGACGAGCTTCCGTACAGAATCCTGGCCGGTGAAGCCAAGCCTTGATCAGGGCCGGAGATGTGTACTGGAGTGTCCTTCCTCGACCGAACGAATCTCGGGCATAAATGGTGTTGGTAGTTTGCTGGGGTCTCTCGCAACGCCGGGGCGCGGATGAGGTGGTCTATCCCTCGCCGCCTCATGCCTGTGTAACGTAGCAAGGCCCGGATGCGTCCCAAAGAAGAGCTCCAAGAGGATACTACGCCCGTATACAGCAAACGGTACCTCCGCGTACGATCGCTTCACATACAGACGCTCTCCAGCCTACGAGCCTGCCGATTATGCGGAGACGTCGAGAAGCAGAATGGGTCCAGCTGTTGCGAGGCTGCTTTTGGACCTCGACAGGGGCTTTTGACGGGCGTGGTCATTCGAGAATCCAGCCATGTCGGATGTGGAAAAGTACCCTGCCTGCCGGCGTCTCACCCCTCTCTCCTGGGCATGGGGAAGCTGGGTTTGGCCCGCGATGCTACCCAGGCGTTAAGCAGGACCACTATCATGGGCCCGCCTGCCCAAACCCATGGCCCCGGCGTGCTGCACGCGCGACTGAAATACAACCTCATATCAATCTCTAAATAGGCCTCGGGCTATATGTACACCGCACCCCCTGAATGTAGATTGGTGACCTCCCCATTGCCCCATAATTTACGACATCAAGCGAGCTAACATACGGCGTGGACAACTGTTACATACAGTAGTGCTAAACTCTGGCTGACAGTACCCTTGAACACCACCCCACCAATGCTGCCACGGCCAAGCGACGACCGGGAACCGGCTCACTTCCGTCTCACAGTGTGAACCCTGGGCGTCAGAGCCGGTCAACATTCGCCGCGATCTGAAGAGCCAACATGCGTCGTAGACGAAAATATGCGCGAATGATACCGTCGTTGGTTTCCTCTGCTAATTGTAAGGTCAATCGGATTATCTCGACTGCTGCCTTACCTCCTGTTTAGCCCGTCTGCTCGACTTGTCGGTATCCTTGGCCGACCATAACGGGTTCCTGCTCAAACGGTTGCGAGCGTGGCTGGTGGATGTTACGAATGCGGTCACTTGTTCGACTTCCCTCACTGCCTCGTCGCAAAGTGCCGACTGGCAGCCCGTAACATCTTGGACCCAAGCGTCACAGTACTGTTCAGCCCAATAATCAACACGGGATGCGATGCATCCATTCCATTAACGATTGGTTCGGCAGCAGCAAACGTTGTTGCGATTGAATGGACACCTTCCATTGTTTCTCGATTTGCTTACATTCATACTTCTCATCGAGTGCCCCCTCAAATCATCGCTTGCCCCCCTCAATATCCCAGTCTGCCAAGCTGACACCATCTCCGCGCAGCCCTTCTTCTCTCCGAATGAAAATTGTTTCATGTCGGGTTGAGATCATTTCTGCAACCACCTAAAGAATTCGAGCCGTTTGGACATGCCATTCATATATAGCGCTCAACACACCAGGAAAACCTTGGTCACTAAGCAGCCAAAGTGGGGGCATTCTCCTCACCCCAGGCCCTGAGCTCCTCCAAACGTTCCTTGATCTTTGCTAGGTCCCCCATCACCACCGCTGTGAGTGAGGCAACACTCTCCCGAATCCTGTCCCTGCGGCTTTCAAGACCTGATAAATTCATAAGTCGGGCACGTAGCTTCTGCGTCACCGACGTGTCGCTGATTCGGCAGCTTTCTAGTTCTTCCAGTGCGGTTCGACAATGGAGCACCTCTTTCCCCACCTCATCTACTTCGTCCAGGTCGCCGTCAGACGGCGGAGAGACAGCAAGCAGGGGGCGCCATTGCTGGGTTCCAGCACGGGACAGAAACTGCAGTAGATCCCGCATACCTTTCAGTTCAGCTGCGACCTGCAGTCCGTCTGACCACACCTTGTTGTGCTGAGTTCTCATGACCCGGGCGACGTCTTCCATGTATGTCGCTTGCTGCTTGTGCCAGAGATGGTAGTCAGCCAGGGTTATGATCGGCGGCAGCGCGGGTGGTATCACGATGCTCTGCGTCGAAACGAGCGGCGCCTGCAGCTTGATGTCAGACAGAAATGAATCATGATGCGCTCCACTGGCCAGGGCAGCGAGAATAGGTCGCCAAATTCCGTAGTCGGTCATGGCGGGGATCTGTTGACCACTGATGATGTGAAGGGCGTTGACCATCACCGCAACACCGCTGTCAGCGTCGTTCGTCTGCTCTGCGCACTGGTGAAAGGTAACATCAGCATCACGGCGGGAATGTGGCGACAGGTGCCCCAGCCTCCTCCTGATGGCGCCTTTATCCGTAAAGGCTGGTTTCGAGTCGAAGATAGTGACCACGTTCTCGGATATGACGGCAAGTATCCAGTGGGTGTGATTATTGAGGTTTGTGGGAGCCAGCGTAATAGTACCGGCGTTTGCTGCTAGGTCGTGATCAAGCTCCTGCGGTGGTTCTTGTCCGTTAAGCAGCAGTGGATGAAGGACTCGCACAGAGAGCGGGCACAGGGCGGCTGCCGCTTTAATGACCTGGTAAATCATCCCCTCTTTGACATGCTGGTCAAGTGCAAGGCGTTCCAAGTCGAACCCGCCATGCGATGTCTGCGGTGGCGTAGCTAGCCGTGAACGCTTGGGAATCACAGGCAGGGGGGATCCCGATCGCTTTTCCATGCTGGCCATGCTGGCCAAAGGACCAGCGCCCGCATGAGCAGACGGAGAGAAGTCGCCAGCAACATGACGCTCGATAGTATTAGACGACTCATTAGCCCCGATGGCGAACTCTGGAGCAGGACTTGTGGCAGGTACAGCCGACGATCTTTGCGACCGGGACATGCGCTCTGGCAACTCTGCTTGCACGACAATCGTTGAGCCGGCCGCAGATGCGGGAGAAGGCTGATGTTTGTCGGTTTCGAGATAGGTATCAGGTCTGATCCTATTGTCAAGATTGTTGAAAGTTGGTGTCTGGCCTGTCTGACCCCTGCCGTTCTCCGAACTAAAGACCCCGTAACCGGCGAAATGACCGATGGGCAGCACCCTAACTGGGGTGGGCTGCGATAGGGTGGCATTGATGTCTGACGGAGATGCTGCTAGCTGGCGGTTCAGCTGGGAAGCATTCTCGGGCCCAGTCTATTCCAGAAGTCAGGTCTTGGGAACACAAGTGGGGGCCATTGGGGCTTACTGGAGCGGGTACGTCTTCAGGTTGACCTCTAGCCACCCCATCCTGTGTGTCGTGATCTCCGTGTGAGGGGAGTCGTCTCCAGATATCGCTCAAAGCTCTGGTGGTGTATCGTACACCTCGTAGCTCTCCGTCCAATGCCCACAGGCTGGTAGGCGACCTCCCCTCGTTCAAAGCCCACCGAACCAACTTGCGAATGGTGACAAGAGCATCATGGGAGATGTGATCAATATCGACGTCATCAGGCAACTAGCCTCGTCCGCCGCACAAGCCATCGAGTTCCCCATGTAGCATCAGCCGTTCATGTGGTCTTCCTGGCACACGTGGTGGCATTGTGCGCTCTTGGCTGTCAGTCGAATGCAGATTCTGAGCTGTGGCAGAACGAAGATCCGTCGTCCGTCTGAGACTGCGAAGGAAAGCGCGAAGTCAGCAAGGTGATCGAACCGGAAATAGACGGGAAGACAGACTAGGTTCGTGTGTGTGCGTGTGTGGCGGGTGCCCTGAGAGCCCGAATCTTATGCTGGCCGACGGATCGTGGGTGGACATGCGATGTTTCCTTGGTTCCATGGGTGGGAGAGCAGGTGGCCGTACAATAGTCCAGAATTTCGCTATGCCTGAGGCACCACGGGGGGAGGGGTTAAGGTTTGCCTGTCATTATGTAATCACCAACCCAACAAGCCATCGGCCGATACAACGGCTGCGTCACCGTTGAATTCATGTAGTAGCTGCGATTCTTCATCGCACTTTCCCTATCCGTGACCACTCCAACCGCATGTCGTTGGAGACGTTGGTGACCCACGGTGCACAGTTGCCTGGCGCCGTTGGGCACTGTGCACTTGGAACTCTGTGGGAGGCCGCGGCGCGTCGCACCTAGTATGCAAGCCAGAACGGGCTCACGTTCGGGGCGGCCCCGGCGGCGGTGGCCTGCCGAGGCGTGTTCCTCGCGCCACGCCAGGTCGACTACTGCATTTGTATCTGCGATCCTGACGTCCAGAGTATTGCCCGCAACTTGTCCCCACCGATAACTTGCCTCGCCTGGGCAACGGCTAGATGATGGTCCCTTGTCATCTGCCGCATCCGAGTCTAGCACGAGCACCAACAACACGGCGTCGTCACGCAGGAAGAAGAAAAGAGCTCAGTCCCTCCCGCAGTCCGTCAACCACACAGAGTTTGCGTGTCTCTATACCAGCCCAATCACCGTGAGCATCGAGACTGAGAAGCCCGGCGGCTCCGAAGATGAGGCCAAGGCTCAACTCCGGTTTGGGGGTCAGCCCAATTCATCCACCTCCAGCAGCTACTCGGAACGCAGACCATTGGTATCAGTCTACCGCTGCGTTATATCTCCGGTTCCATTTGGTAGCTTTGTTTGCTGTGAACAAGCCTAATCGCGTTGTACGTCAACCTCCCGGAAACCCCCACCCCGCCTTGCGTTACCTTTCTTAACACCCAAACAGCATGCTGATGGGATTCCTCGCAGGAGCTCCTACACGCACATCGATTCGAAGGCACGCACACCATCATGGGTGGCTCCCAGATCTTCGCTCTTCTTCGTGCGCTGCGAATATGGAGCGAGACGGTGTTTCGAGACCGGTTCCTGAGCGCGTTCGTGCGCGACTAGCCGTGGCCATGGTAGAGCAGACGTCTCTCCCCGGGATACCAACGCATGGAAATGTGGCGCAACGTCGTGGAAACCGACACAATAGTCGGTAATGGCGAACAACTATTCAGAGCCATGACGACGTCCACGCACAACGGCGAAGTCGAGGCAGTACAGTACCTTCTACCCTAAACGTCACACGTTCCAGACCGTGCCGTGACTAACGAAGAGTTTACCGGTTCCACCGTTCCCACAGACTTGCTCCGAATGAAAGAACCTCTCTTGCTCCGATGGCAAGGCCCCAGCCCACGCGCGGGCTCGCCTATACGACTGGAATCCCTAACCACCAAGCTCCTGGGCTGGCGGATCGAAGGGGTCTTGACTCTTGTGCGGTCTCGCGCCGGAGGCCGAGCCCGAGATATTCAGCATTCCTCGATTTGGGGAGATGATCAAACATGATGGTTGGGAGCTAGGATACAATCACTTCAACACATCAACTGAAGCAGGCCTGCGAGGTCCCGTGCTTTTTACACTCGAAACAATTCATCTCATCAGCATGCTTTTGAAAAGAGCGCACCAGCTTGGGTTCCAGGCTGTGACAGGCTGGCAGAATTGGAATCGGTTCACGTCCAATCAGGCTATAGTATGTCGCGCGTTGTCCAGCCATGGTGCGCACATTCCGTTAGACAGCGGCTGAACTCCTCGCTCGAAGACTCAACGGATACAACCTACGTTCTGGGTCGCAAGGGACGGAACCAGCGAATATATTCTGTCTCTTGTGATAGAATCGATATCGACAGTTGCGCCTGCAGTCTTGAGGGTGCTGAGGAGAGAGGATAGCTCCCAATGTTGATCAGATGTGGCATGTGTTGGAACCCATCGAATTTTCTTTAATAGTAGTATTATGCCCCAGGTTCTACACATAGTATGATCTGGTCAAATGGGTAAACCACTAGCAGCTGGCGAATGCTTCGCGATAGCCTATGGTTGGGTGGTTGAATGATTGAATGAACCTCGTCCACGTGAAGCATTATCATGCATTGATTACGTGTAGAGCTTTGTATTATCTGTTGCGAACCACACCCTTGTAGAATATTGTTCTGATTGGGATGCGAAGTGGGGTTTTGGGGCTCTTTGATAAAAGCCCATAATGCTTCTGGTCCGCCAGGCTTTTTGGTGTCTGCTGTGCGTTGCTACAGTAGGGGCAAGCCTTAGAGATTGCTATTAGGATGCACTGTGCTTCGGGGGAGGCTGTGGAATAGTTAATGTTGGGTTCAAATTATGTAAAAGGTGACTACGCGGCAAAGTCCCTCCGCTTAATTATCACACATTTTCTGTTGCAAGGCATGTCCTGGGCACTGTGCGTTGCTTTGTTACTTTTCTGGCTTCTGCCACGGTGCCTCCAGTGGCCTGTGCTTGGCTGGCTGGGCTCTCCTCACTGACGAACCTGGGAGGGTGTGCCAGGGGTGGTGGTGGTGGTGGTGGATCGCACCGTCAAAGACATGCCAGAACCAAAATCAACAACCCAACCCCTGTGTAAGAAAGGACTAACTTTGAGTTTGGTTCATGTCCACTGCATCCATCTATCCTTAACACTGATGTGACTTCATCTGTGCTGCAACTGCCTGCTAGTCAGTTAGCTCTGTTATTGCATTGGGAGGGCCCCGCTCCGCTGGCTGCAATTGCTAGCTGCAGGTGGTGTCACCCTCCTTATAAAGGTGGGCTACTTCCCCCCTTGTCTCGTCTTCTTTTGTTCTCATGACACTGGTGATGCATATGTATCGCTTACATACAGTCATGAGCATAAATTTCTTCCTCTTTGGAACACTTCGATTCTCTTGACTTGCCCCACACAGGGCCGTACCTGATGGGCTAGCACTGTGTACAGCCTATGGATGGATTTTCAATTGAGGGTGTCCCCTGCCCAAAGCCAGAGATGGACATAATCAAGTACACCCCGGAGGTGAGATATCACCCGCACTGTAATGAGTTACATTGACTCCAAACATTTTGTTTGTAGACAGGCAACCACAACCAGCGATAGACGTTTGAAACAGACGTAACAGCAGGTTCTGGCTCTCCTGAATATGTGAATATGGAAGGCTTGTGCATAAAGAGGAAGCTACATGTGCGCTATACATACCATCTCGCTTACACACGAACATCTCTTCCGTCACCCTCAACCAACAACAGCTACTTCAGACAACACAAGAGTGGCCGCCACCATGGACCCCTATGTCTGCTGGGTTGGTAAGCAACTGGAGCAATTTGAACCCTTATGGGATGCCGCATACAAATTCCGAGGCGCTTTCAGGCTTATTGGGAACCCTAGCGATATCATAGACTCGCTTTCGCACCTGAATCTCTCGGCACGTCTCGAAAGATTATCGTGCGTGAAGAACCTCCGAGTTTTGGAGAAAGCGACAGGCAAGAAAATCGATTGGACAACCCTGGAGCAGTGGATCAAGGGTGCCCAGGACCACGTACACAGAGAACTCGAAGCGACAGCCAGGCTATGCAAGCTGCTCAAGATTGACGTGACCGATTTGGGGCTAGACGATGCCTACACTAAAATCGAGGAGCATCCACTTCAGCGTTCATATGCTCGCGCCTTCGGCCCAAACTGGCAAACAAGATTGTCCGAAATCGACCGCACCTACGGCCCCGGCACCACCTCAACTACAAGGATTCTCATGGACAGGGGACAGTTCGAGCAGGCCATTTCCTCTCGCCAAGAGATAGTTCAGCAGAACCTTGACAAACTCAAAGAGAAGCAGGAGCACCTTCCCGCTTTTAGAAAGAGCTGGTTGGAGTTGGAGACAGGTGCCAGGATGAAAATCCTGCAGCAGTATGGGCTTCCCCAGAACCCAAACGCTGACATTTATGCCTACTTAGAGGGGGCTGACGTTCGTTGTACTTGTCCGGCACTCAACTGCATTGACCTCTCGGAGAATGATACTCTGCCATCGTTGCTCGAGACGCGGTGCCGATTCCCGCCGCAACGTTTCCGTCGCTCAGGCGGCCGTCACCATCTGCTCAGCGTCTGGGCAGGTCGTAAAGCTCCCATCGTGGTGAAAGGCGTATCGTACTTGGAATTTGACGACAGATCCTCCGACGCAGCGGGGGAACTTCGGTTTTACGGCGGTGCTGTATCCCAGGTCGCAGAGTACGAAACACCGGTGCAAACCAGCTCGAAGCTAGTTAATCCTAACTCTCTGTTCTGGCAGCTGCAAGGACAAACAGAGATATACCGGTTCCTGGGCAGCTTTTCAAACACAATCCCCGGCACGACAAAAAACGAGGCGGGGACGTTCATCCAAGATAGCGATCTAGGTGTGGAAGGAAGCCCACCCATCGCGCGTACTTCCTTTCCAAAACACAAAAACGACATGAATATCAACCTGGACGGTTTGCGAGAGATGATTAGAACATCACTCGACGAAGCAAGGGACGATCTGTGGCAGCTTCGTCAAGACCCAGCCTCTTGGCATGGCGGCTTAAAGAGAATGGCTCAAGGCAGCGGCTCAAAGGAGCTTCTGACAACCCTCTTCAGCCGCGTCGACACCTTCGCCAACTTGGACCAGCTAATAGGAGCTTCTATCCAACAGGTTGAGAGTCCTCTATTGACCGAGGCGGACGAAGACACCATGAAGATTGCAGCATCCCTTGACTGCGCTCTTTCTGCCGCGTTCGAGGAGAGGTTGGCCCATTTTCGATGGATCATGCCACCGCCAGCGGGCTCACTCACCAAAGTTGGCCACCAGCTGTTGGAACTGATCAGGGAGAACGATCCGATTCTTCGTCGTATGGGGTTCTCGGCGGTGATGAGAACCATCGATCGAGAAGTCGTAGGAGGCAGGTCCTTCCCTGTGGCCGTCTCACAGATCCTCAGCGACCTGCACGTCTTGGCTGTCTGCCTCGAAGAGACTGAGAGCCATCATCCATCGATCTCTGACTGGGTGGAATACTTTCAGATGTCCAACTCCTTTTACGTGGAGCAGACTGGCAGACTGCGGCCCTGGAAGGAGATCCTCGAGGAGGCGGTTAAAGCGATGGAGGATGCCGGCGAGTACAATTTTGCGGGAGGACACCAGGGCTTTTGGCGAAGACTGGACCAGCAGATGGGAAAGGTATCGCGGAACAACGACGCTCTTGAAGGTGTATTCCGCGAGATAAAACGAGAAATGCCCCTTAGGCCTGAACAGCAGTCTGCACCGGAAGCTGCGACGGAGCCCATGGTCTCAGTCTTCAGCACGGCACCTAAGACGGCAGCCACGGCGACCCAACTCAAACGAACGCGTCAGCGACGGGGAAAAGACCAGACCCAAAACCCCGATCGACCGGCCGAGCAGTCGATCCAACGGCCATCATGCAGCTCGTCTCCGAGTCGCTTGCCGTGTGTCGAGCTTCCAAAATCGGACTTTTGGCTGTCGCTGCGGAACGGCACCCGGCAGACCTTCGCCTGGGACGACTTTCGCAAAGCCATGTGCAGCATCAGATGCAGCATGAAGCCGATAGGGGGTTCGGCGTTTCGCTTCGTCCGCCGTGACTCCGAGGGCGGACGAATCTTTTCCATCGTATATCACAAGCCACACGGCGAGTCCGGCGAGACAACTCTCAACCTGGGCCAAGCCCGACGATCTTGGCTCATGAGGCTTGAAAGTTGCGTCAATCTTGACTGGGCCTGAATGCATGTCTTGCTTACTGTCACGGGCTAGAGCCCGGATTGATATCTCCGGCTTCGCCGGAGCAGTTACCGAGATCCGGCTCCGTTGGACCCACTATTCTACCGCAGTACGCCGCCTAACCCGGCCTGCTTCACCGCTGTTAGGTGCCTACCCTTGTAAAGTCCTTTCTTCCTTCTTCAGCTTAGAATAGTCAATCGACGGCACCTCTACGTTGAACAAGCCTAGGGGCCAGCCCCTTACATTGATGAGGTGTTCAGTGTCCGTTACCAGGTCGTTGAGATTCCACTCAGGCACGAGCTGATGGATCGATCCAAGAGATACATCTGAGGCTCGATTTGGGGTACTTCGGCCGCGTCCAATAGCGAGGAGACACTTCACTCGTTGATTTCTACTCAGAAAACGCCAAGTAGCTTTGATAGTGTCGGAATGTCGGCGCCATCGGTGAGCGAGGTCGGACTGGGTATCTCGTAGATGCTGAGCAAAAAAGGGTCTCGAGTACGCAGAGGAACTCGCCCTGTTACTGAAAGCATACCTGTCTTGCGATATGGCTGAGAAGGTGATGTTAGATCATCAAACTTGTGATGGGGAATATGTTGAGGAGCAAGTTGTTTGGTGACGTCTTGCAAACGGAAGGAAGGGCAGATGGAAAAGGATATCTGCGAGAAGATTCTGGACAGCAAAGAGTTTTTTTCGGTTGGTTCTGGCAAACAAACAAAGCTGCACGTGATACACATAGGTGAAGGCGAATGGGACGGGTAGCTGCATAGTGAATTTGGCAGGAGCATGAGTTGATGCTAACCCACTTTCACTCCTTCCCTCAGCAATCCATTGTTTGGGTTAGCTGAACAACTGAAGAGCTGCTACCTTTCCTGTGATTGGCCACACTTATGACTCGTCTCCATAGGTGCCTTGGACGGAAGAAAGACCACCGGATTGTAAAAGCACGTCATGAATCCTCTGACTGGCAAAACCATCCTAGGAATACCTATCTCTTCGATTCTAGCACTTTTCTTACATGATTGTAACATTTGAACCTGGAGATGACCGCTGACATAACCCTAAACGACCATTTGGTTTGAAGATCTTCACCTCAACGTTTAAATCTGCGATGTCAAGATTACCAACATCAAGATATTCAGTGATTTGTTCCTGTTCACGCGCCTCTGGAAAGTTTTGTTGCTTAACTCTCCCAGGCCTCTACTTCCCCCCTAGCCTTGACTCTTCCAGGTCCGATGCAATGCAACTAGCAAGTAAACTATTCTGCCGCTCATACCCGCCAAAAACCCAATGCTGACCTTGTAGGCCATGGAATGACATTGACCATTGGTTGGGGCCACGATCTCTGCACCCCCGCAGCCCGCATGACGGGCGAGCAACTGATTGGAAAGCCCCTTGACAAGTTGACAGCTAACATGGTCCAGACGTGGCGAAAGTGATGGAGAGGTTCGTTGGGTTCAGGCCTCTGTAAGTCGTACTTTATGGAACAGTGAATTGAGTATACTGGTTGATCATGCACTCCTTTAATGCAGGTTCATGGGGGGCCTACATCGCCAGCATCATAGATTCTTCGCTGAACACGAAGCCGTCCAGTTGCGCCGTTGCTCGGAGTTGTTTCGTGGAATCCCTTGGCCAGTGGATGGCGGATTCGGGCGTAAAGAAGACGAGCGGTGTCGGCCCCGGAGACCGGGCGCCACTCAGTATTACACGGCGTCCGCATCGCCTGGCAGCATTCTAGGTATCAATTTGCCCTGGAACTGCGCTCGTCCTTAATGCGGGGTAAATATGGAGAACCCGCCCCTCGGTGAAATCTCGCTATCGGTGCTCACAACCGGGACACCCGACCCCATGCTTAGTACAGGGTTACTTCCCTCATCTAAGCATAAGAAAGAGCATTTCAGGTTTTCCCTTCTCCCACTTTAAAAGCCCTTGCTCTATTGCCGACGATAACAAAGATATTATTACGCCGACTCTCCCTAAAAAGATCTCTTCTCTAGCCTTTGACAGGCTTGCTGCAGCCGGAACCTGATCTTGCGATGGTGCCCTCCGACGAGAACAATCAGTTTTCTGCACTGCGTGCTCGGCGGAATAGAAGAGTCCCTTACGTCAATCAAGCATGGTAAAGCCTACTTTGCCCTCGTCTACAAATTGAGATTTCTCTAAGTTGTTCGCAAGTATCGAATGCAAGCGAAAGAAAATCAAGTGCGACGGTGTCAGCCCCTGTGCGTCGTGTACGCGGAAATCAGTTCCATGTCAATATCATCCGCAGCGTCGAGTCCTAGCCACTCTAAAACCCAGTGCAAAGTTAGTTATTAGGCCCCTTCAAGTCTATCATCATGTTCTACATGAGGTTCATCAATCAAGACCCCCATTCGTTCACCTTTCTACCATAAGGCCAAGATGGCTGACGAGAATGAAGAACCGCGGATTCAGCCAGGACTTCTTATTCTTCCCCTCAACATGAAGGTTCACTGGATGTTTCAAAACCTGCCCCTAGGTATTATTCGCAGGCGATTCTAGTAAAATCGGCCATACAAATGGCGGAAGGTGGTCCGGGCGTTGGAGCAGAATCGGTTGGACTCGGGACGGAGCTGTAATTGGGTGGTGTTTAACCCCAAGTGGAGACTCTAG